GGCCTGGCAGGTGGCCTAGAATAAATCTGGAAAAAAATTATGTTAAGTAGGTCCCAGTAAAAAAAAAAAAAAAAAAAAACATTCTCGAGCGAGGGAGCACCCCCAGAAATTCCCCTGTGCAATTGGTCGATTGTTTTACCAACTGATTACGTAATTACGTAATCCATCAGAAAAAATCTCGGCGGTGGTGTGGTGGAGGAGAAGGGCGGTGCACGAGGGCAGCGCTGGCCGTTTTTCCCCATCCCACACTGGCATTGCCTTGCCCCCCCTTGTGCCGCTCTTTCCCCCTCCTCTCTTCCCCTCTGCCAGCCCCGCCTTTTCCCAGCGCTGCTCCCCCCACGTTGCTCTTCCCCCCTCACTGCTGCTCTCCCTCCCCCTGCGCTGCTCTTCCCCTCCTGTGCGGCTCTTCCCCTCACCATCACCCCCTATGCTGCTCTTCCCCCCTCAGCCCTTTCCCTCCGCCCTTCCCCGCTGCTAGGGTTGCCCTCCCCTGATGCTAGGGTCGCCCTTCCCCGCAGCCCTCCCCCCTCAACCGTTCCCCTCTTCCCTTCCCCGTTGCTAGTGCCGCCATTTCCACCATCGTCCCCAACGCTGCTCTTCCACCCTTACCCCTTCCCTTTCCCCCTCCACAAGCCCCGTTATTGGTCGCTCCATGGCAAGACCGATTACGTAATTGGTCTTCTAAGGAATCTACCGATAATTTGGACCAATTACATAGTTGGTGTTTAAAGAGCTTTATCGATTTATCGGTGTTTTTTTTTTTTGCCCCTTTCAGGTTGATTTCCTGGAAGACCGAATACGTCATCGGTTTTCCAATACCAAGGCCAAAAACGGGGCTCGCAGAGGGCGGTGGGTAAGGGCTGAGTGAGGAAGAGTAGCGCGTGGGGGGATCGTGGGGAAGGGCGGCGCTGGAGCTGGCAGCGGGGAAGGGCGGTGGGGAGGAGCGATGCAAGGGTTTCTCTCTCTCTCTCTCTCTCTCTCTCTCTCTCTCTCTGCCTATGGTTTACCGGACAGTTCTGTTTGTG